GCTGTTTTCCGCTAGAAAAGGAGCCTTCCTGAAGTTGCAACAACTCCTTCACCTTCAAACACTCTCCAACCATGGGGTTTCATGAAAGACATCAGTGGGGAAGATCAGAACAGGGCCGACCTGGGGCAGAGCATGGAGACCAACATTCATTAACTGAGAGAGGGTTCCAGCTGTGCATCCGATTGTTTGGACAACTACTTCTCCCTCAATTTTAGTTCTCAAAAGTTTTTGCCCTCAACATCTTGCCAGATCATAACTGAACTGCCAGCTTCTGTGGCTTAGAGTTGACACATGCTCTTGTCTTCCACCGTTCTGAATCATTTTCTGTCTCTTCCACATTCCCTCTTTCGAACTTGTTATGTCACTGTCACACGCACACACACACACACACACACACACACACACAGCTCTTTAAAAAAATCATCTTTTCACACCCGTTCTTCTTCTTCTATGCCTGTGTTGTTTGGAACATAGTGAAGATTTGGGCAGGATGGAGTGACCTGCCACTGCTGCTAATAGGCAGGATCAATATCGCGAAATGTGCCACATCCTTCTTCATTTTCTCATCACACAGCAATCGATAGCCTTGCCTGTAAACCTTTCCAAAGGCTCAATGCTTTTCATTTCCTGTCCTGGGCCTACTTGCCCCAAAGCACAGGCCAAGCTTGAATGGAATATGCTCACCGTCGTGTGACTCTCCAAACACGGTTGGCATGTGCAGGTGAACGTGAATGAATCCGTGTGTGCACAAGTACATGTGTGCACACGGCAAACCTAAGTAGCTGGCTAACATCTGCCTTGCTTAATCGCAGGGAATGTAATTACGCCAGGAGGAACCCGTGCAGGAGGATTTATTCCCTATAAATGAATACTCTATGAGACACCATTACTGTAATGACTTCGTGTGCCAAGCAATGGGTGTAGGCAAAGGCTACCCAGTTTTTACTGATTCTGCACCTCTCCAGTCTGGGATACTTGTCCTGTGTCTAGAAGACACGTTTGCTGATGCAGATGGGACATCCATCTGTGTGCTAAGCTAGGAAGGAAAGATCGTTTCCATCATGTCAGAGAGAAGTGGCACCTTCTCCTCCTGCACGCATAAATTCTCCATAAGTGAGTGACCTCTGGGAATGGAGCTGAAAGTTAGAGCTACACAGTGAAAGACACACATACACAGAGAGACAGAGAGAGAGAGAGAGAGAAATCGTCCACCCAATAATTTACTCTCTAAATGGCTGGGTTGAACCAAAGCCAGGAGCTTGGACATCCATTGGATCGCTTATGTGGCCACAGGGGCCCAGGCATTTAAGTCATCCTCCATAGCTTTGCCAGGCTCATCAGCAGGGAGCCAAGTCAGAAGTGAGCAGCAAGGACCAGAACTGTATAGGGTGTGAGCATCATGCATGTCATCTTAGCCCACTGTGCTACAACACCAGTTCCTATATAAGATCTCTTGATGGTGTGAGTTCAGCACTCGTTCTGGAGAGCCACATGTATAATTTTGGTTTTGGATATGTTTCTGTAGCACCAGGCGGCTGAGCAAATGTCTTCCTGGTGCTGGTGCCAGCAGCCATCAGTGTGCTTCCAGTCAGTCTGTGGTCGTAGAAGACACATCCAGGGCTTGCACTGTGTTGCTGAGTTGGGTGGACCCTAGTGTTATGCCAATGACATGTTCAACTTACTACGGCTTTAAGTCAAGGAGCATCTGTACATTAAATTAGTGTTGGAAAACTGGGACATTCAAAGAGATCAATGACCATGAAGGACAGGCAAACAAATCACAGAAGCCCATCAATGTTTATCAACTGTTTTATTTCTCTCTCTCTTTCTCTCTCTCTCTCTCTCTGGCTAATTTTATTGTTACTATTATTTTTCCATGATATAGCTTTATAGGAGTAGAGATTCCCACGCTACCTCTCCTTTCTCTTTCCTCATTCTCCTTACCTACTATTTTCCTGATATTTTCACAATAGTATAGTCCTTCAGCAACAGTCACAGGCCCAATATTCTGCTATTTAAATGTATCGTGGCTTTGTAGATGCTAGTTATGGTAGCGAATCTAGTATCATACTATCAAACAATATTTAACTGTTTCATTGGAAGTCCTTCTCTTGTGGGTCTGTAAAGGTGCCTACTGTAGCACAAATTCATTTCCTGATATGCAAGTCTCCATTATACAGTTCACATATGAGAATACACACACATATTTGCTTACCTGTGTAGCTATTTGTTTTGTATTTTGCCTGAATGTTACCTTATATCAGGGAGGGAAGAAATGATGTTTGTCCTTTTGGTATTGGGTTATTTCACTGACCATAACTGTCTCCAGTTAGGACCATTCTTTATAACGGCTAAGTTGTAATCTGTGGAGTAGATGTACCACAGTTTCCTTGTCCATTCCTCTTTATAGGGGCATGTGGGTTGTTTCCATGTCTTTGCTAAACAATAACTACCAATTAGCCCCCATTATCTGTGAGTGTGTTACACTTACACAGCAAAATGCACTTGCAGTAGCTGGGTATTGTGGCTAAGCTTCTGCCTGTGGCAATAGAATCTCATATGGGTGCTGGTTTTTGTCCTGGCTGATCTACTTCCCATCTTGCTAATGGCCTGGGAGGCAGCATAGGATGGCTTAAACTGTGGAGCACCAACACCCCCATGGGAGACCCAGAAGGAGCTCCTGGATCTTGACTTTGGATCAGTTCAGCACTGGCCATTGGAGCTGTTTGGGGAGGTGAATCAGTGGGTAGAAAATTCTCTCTCTCTCTTCATCTCTCCTCTGTAATTCAGCCTTTGAAATAAAAATAAATCTCTTTAAAGCACCTTGCAGGTTAGCATCAAGAGCCTTGAAATGTGGAAAGCATGGCGATGTGGCAGAGTAGGCTAGCCCTCCACCTGCAGCTCCAGCATCCCACATAGGCACTGGTTTGAATTGTGACTGCTTCACGTCCAATCCAGCATCTGGAAAGTAGTGGAAAATGGCCCAAGTGTTTGGGCATCTGCACCCATATGGGAGAGCCTGAGGAAGCTTCTGGCTGCTGGAACCAGATGCTACAGCCATTTGGGGAGTGAGCCAGCAGATGGAAGATGCTCAGTAGCTCCTCTTTCTGCAGCTATTCCTATCTCAAATAAAAATAAATATAAGCCTTTGAGAAACAAGGAAGGGGGCCTGGAGCAGTAACATAGTGGCTAAATTCCTCACCTTGCACGTGCCGGGTTTCTATATGGGCACCTGTTCTAATCTCAGCAACCTTGCTTCCCATCCAGCTCCCAGCTTGTGGCCTGGGAAAGCAGTCCAGGATGGCCCTAAGACTTGGGACCCTGCACCCACTTGGGATACCCGGAATAGCCTTGGGATACCAGGCTCCAGGCTCCTGGCTTTGGATTGGCTCAACTCCAGCCATTGTGGCCGCTTGGGGGGATGAATCAATGGACAGAGGATCTTCCTCTCCATCTATCTTCTTCTCTGTATACCTGCCTTTTCAATAAAATTAAATACACCTTAAAAAAAATAAGGAGGGAAGGAAGAAAGGAAATACAAGAAAACAAAGGAAGAAAGAGAAAAGAAAGATCAGAATCAGATTGGGACAAAAGGGACTTTATTTTTTTCCCCCCAACTCCAGAGGCTCAGTTAGTTGGAGCCAGAAATTCCACAGCACTTGAAGAAGGGACGTTTGTAAAATGAAACTTCAGAGATTAAAATAATGGGAAAGGAGGAATGGTTTTGAGGATAACAAGGATAGATCATTATTTATAGAAAGCGTCCATATAAGACCAAATGCTGGCTAGAATCACAGCTGCTCTGATTCTGATTCAGTTTCTGCCTAATGCGCTGTGAGAGCTGGCAGGTGATGGTCTACATGCTTGGGCTCCTGCTGTGCAGGTATGAGAGCCAGCAGATGTTGGTCTGCATGCTTGGGCCTCTGCCACGCAGTGTGAGAGCCAGATGGAGTACCTGGCTCCTGGTTTCAACTTAGTACAGACTTTGTTGTTGAACCATTTGGGGAATAAAACAGCATTTAAGATATCTCTCTGTCTTTCTTTTTAAAATCTATTTTATTTTTTTAAGATTTATTTATCTTTTTATTACAAAGTCAGACATACAGAGAGGAAGATTTTCCATCCGATGATTCACTCCCCAAGTGAACGCAACAGCTGGTGCTGCGCTGATCCGAAGCTGGGAACCAGGAACCTCTTCCAGGTCTCCCATGCAGGTGCAGGGTCCCAAAGCTTTTGACCATCCTCGACTGCTTTCTCAGGCCAGAAGCAGGGAGCTGGATGGGAAGTGGAGCTGCTGAGTTTAGAACTGGCACCCATATGGGATCCTGGTGCGTTCAAGGTGAAGATTTTAGCCGCTAGGCCACCATGCCAGGCCCTCTCTCTCTTTCTGTCATTTTACCTTGAAATAAATAAATTATTAAAGAAAAACATAGAGCTCTATTCCTCCTTAGCAATGTCAGAAGTGTCTGCTGTCTGGATGAATATGTCGTGACATGGCTTGAACCTGTGCTGGTGTCCTGGTGCCATAGCAGGCAGTACCCTTCAGCCATGACATGGCCTGTGCCTGTGCTAGTGTCATGGTGCCCCAGCTGGGAGCATCCTTCAGCCCTCATGGCTGTGCTACTCAGAACCTCTGAACCTTAGACAGTTCCTCTTCACATAATGTAAGTAAGTGAAGTGAACAGAAAATGTTACATAGCATGCCGAGGATGTGAACTGATAATTGAAACCTACAATTCCTAGTTGAACTTGACTATGGAACCATCTTGACCTTCCTTTCTCAATTGATTGATTATCTCTCTCCCAGTTGATAGTGAAGGCCCACCTGTACCTTCTGGATGCTAAGAGCCCACTGGGACATTGGTGCACTCTCTCTCCCAGCATCCCTCCCTGTATATCTGTCCTGCAGGCTTATCAGGTCTTAACATGCCTCCCATGTCCTGCTGGACAGAAAGCAAGCCTTCGTGACATCCCCAAGCTGCTCCGCTTACGACTGTGTTGTGCTCTTTTCAGCAGCATGCATTCTGTAACTGGAAAAATGTAAGAGAAGATTAGCACGACCCGTGCACAGGATGACATGACAATCCATGAAGCATTCCATATTTAAAAAGAAACAACAAAAATAAAAATAAATTCTGTCTATTGAGGCTAGCATCGTGACACGATGAGTTAAGCCATCATCTGAGGCATTAGCATTAAGTACTGAAGTCCAGTTTCTGATTCAGCTTTCTACTAATGCACCTGGAAAAGACCATCAGCTGGCCCAGGTTCTTGGATCCCTTCCACCTACATAGGAGAGGTGGATGGAGTTCTAGGCTCATGGCTTCTGTCTGGCCCAGTCCCAGACATTGTAGCCACTTGGGGAATGATCCAGCAAATGAAAGACTCCTCTCTCTCTCTCTCTCTCTCTCTCTCTCTCTCTCTCTCTCCTCTGTAATGCTGTCTTTCAAATAAATAAAATAAATTGTTTAACAAAAAAAGAAACTGTGGACCAAAAGGTTATCTCCCCAGGCCTTGCTAATGTGTATCACACAACAGGAGGAGAGGGTTTGTTTCCTAGCACCCTCCGTCATTTTGCCCTTCCAATGTTTCCATGCCGTCCTTGTCTCTTTCCTTTGCTTGCCAGACCAGAGAGATGCTTCTCTCCCAGTTACCTGAAGGCCTGATAAACTCAGTGGCATGTGAACAACAACAACAAAAAAAGTTCTTAGATTTTACAAATTCTGAATCTGTTGCACTGAACCAGAGTTGAATATGAAAAGAGGAGGAGGGGGAAGAGGAAGATATCAACAAGAGGAGACAATGGAAGAGAAAGAATCCAAGGAACTGTAAAAGAAGAATTTTGATTTCTAAGGCTACAGGGGAAACCACCTGTGATGGCTCGTTACTTGCCTGGTCCTCTCCCTGCCAGTAAGAGAGTGACATGCTTGCCAGGCATCTGCTTGCTCTACAGGGGCAGATTTCTGCCTTTTGATGGACCATGGCCAAGAGTCACACAGACACCGCGCCACTCCCATGGCTGCTGGTATGAAAGGGAGACACTGACATCCAGCGTGAAAATGGCCCAGCCAGCAGGAGTTCTGCTCAGGCACCTGTCTCACAGCCTGTGATGCCTTTACTCTCACCACACTCTACCCGCACTTTGGCTGTGTTCCAGCCGGAGGCCAAGACAGCATGAGCCACATATGCTGTCAGCTTTCCTCTTGTGCTGGGAATGGATGGGTTAATGAGTCTTTGTACCCAAAGCCATGGAAAACAGACAATTGATCTGAACGTGGAGGTGAAGTGTGTGAAATTGTTTATAAATCGTCTGAATAATTGTGAGCACTGAAGTGCGACGCTAGCACCTCTGTCCTCTCTTGTTTTGTGCACGATTTTCATTAACTCACTAACAAGAAATTCATTCTCAGGAGCCACCCAGCGCTGAATTCAAATCCTGCATTGGCTGACTAGTTTCAGAGTGGCTCCCTTCTCACCTTCACACTTTGGCTATTTGTAAGATAAAGCAAAGCTATTCTTACAAAAATGTGTAATAGGCATGAAAGAAGTGAGCTCCAGCTGGCATGTAATAAATTCTCACCTCAGTTGTCCTAATCAGCTTTTGGTTACGATAACCAAACACCAGGGAAAACTAGTTCTAGAAGAGGGAAGGTTCTGTTTAGTTCTCAGACCATGATTGGGCACCCCCATGTCTCTGATCTCTGACATGGGTGATAGTGGGAGGCATGGGCAGTGGAGGGGCTCACAAGGTGAATTGGGGAGAAGAGAGAGCATGAATGTTCCTGACACAGACCTGTACTTTTCATCAGTACACTCTCCAGTGGCCTAAGGATCTCCCATGTGGCCCTTCTCCCATAAACCACTGTTGGATTATGTTTCTGGTGCCTTAAAAAACATTAATTTAAGCCTTTAAAGTTTAAATGTATTGCCTGAGTTCAGAGGTCAAAGCATGTTCCAGAGGCCAGTGCTGTGGTGTAACAGGGTGAATTTACCATCTGCTATACCTGCATCCCATGTGGGTACTGATTCAAGTTCTGGCTGCTTCACTTCTGATCCTGATTCTTGCTAACGTGCCAGAGAAAGCAATGGAAAGTGTCCCAAGTACCTGGACCCCTGCCACCTTGTGGGAGACCTGGATGAGGGTCCTGGCTTCTGGCCAGCAGGGTTCAGGCTTGCCATTACTGCCATCTTGGGAGTGAACCAGAGGATAAAAGCTCTGTGTGTGTGTGTGTGTGTGTGTGTGTGTGTGTGTGTGTGTGTGTGTGTGTCTTAAGATCTCTCTCTCTCTCTCTCTCTCTCTGTAACTCCGGAAGTTACTTCTCACCTCTCTCCATAACTCTTGCACCTTAAAGTCTACCAATGATCAAACCCTACAAAGGGTGTCAACCAGATGCTTCTCCATATTCTGTTTCCTCTTTGTTTTCTATCTCCAGGAATTCTCGGGTGAGCTGTGATATTTATCCTGACTTGCTCCAAAGTTTCAATTGCTTTCCAAACAGTTCACTCTCTCCATTGTCCCTTTTCTTCAGCACATGCTCCCTTCCCATGACAGTGATTTGCAGATCCTCACCCACATTCCAAACACATATGAAAAGACAATCTCCAAACAGCCAGTGGGACATGCACTGTGTGTCACTGGGCAGCACCCGATCAACTTGCCAACTCCTTCTTTCATGTCTCTGCTGCACCTGCACCTGGCTGCTGCCCCTCAGGCCATGTCTAGCCTGCAGCCCACTGTTGGCAGTCACATCCTCGGCAAGCTCAGCTAAGGGCTTTGCCATAGGAGAATCAGGAACAGGCAGCAGAAGCCATCATTTACATGGATAGTGTACCAGATGAGCCTTGGCCTGGCACAGCACACTGAGGGGCAGAAGCTATAAACCTGTTCTCCAGGCTCTTTCCCTAGATTGAGTGTGCTGTGATGCAGCTTAGGGCTTGAAGACAAATGTGTTCTACAGAATATGACTGCAAAATTCAAGCAAAGTCTTTCATCTGCTGCTTCCACTTGGATTCCATATTGGGAAACCCTTTCTGTTGCATTCAGTAAGCAACTTCAGCCACCTAGGGAATTCCAAGGGGCTCCTGACTTTTGGGGGTCTTCCCTTGTCCCAATCTGACTCATGGAACTCCTGGTTTTGAAATACCCTGTATTGAGGTGCTTTTCCACACTGCTCACTCAGTCGGCAGCAGCAGGGAAGGGCATCCCCCTCTCGTTGCTGGTTAGGTGAAGCCCACACATTTCCCCAAGACTCAACGTCACACAGGTAAGTATACCTGTTACTGAAAGCTCTCAACCAAACAATCGTTAAAACACTCATTTCCTTTTGTAAAGAGTCTTCCTCCCTCACTGGACCCTGATTTCCTGGACGGCAGAAGTTAGCTCATCTTCTCTTCCACTGCTTGCTCTGCCTTTCCTTGTCATCTGTTACGGTTCTCACTGCGTTCCCACTGTGGATGCCGTGGTGTCTCCAGAGCAGGCAGCAAGGCTGCGGAGCTGGGTCGCCTCTGGAACAGGACTGCTGCTTCTGCTGCCTGGCTGGAGAGGCATCAGCAGCATCCTTGAACCAATGGCGACTCTGCTTCCTTTCTTCCCAGGAGGGGAGCCATGCTCACTTCCCTTCAAGGCCTTTTGAGTCTTTTTTCTTTACAAGAAAAACTCAATCAGCAGCACTGGAGAGCTCTACTTGGCTGCAGAGGTGGGAAATGACTAGAACTTGGAGTGTCGCTGAGTGATTCAGAATCCAGGCCTACTCAAAAGCTTGAATTGAATAACATTCATTGAGCGGAATGTTGATGGAGTAGAGTGAGGTTGATGGACTAATAAAGGATCAGCAAAACTTCAGAGACTACCAACAGAATGAGTATTGTCCTACTGTGGCTGAGGAGGAGGCTGTTACGTGGACCCAACAAGAATCTGGGCTGTGGGTTTTCCAACTTTCTCCTCTCTCCTCTTTTTTTTTTTTTTTTTTGTAATTTTGCCTATACTATTGAATGAGTCCAACTGGAAACCAAGAAGCAATGGGTTCTCACAGAACCCATTGATGCCCAAGCTAGAGAGAAGACAAAAAAAAAAGAATCTGAAAAAGATAGTTGAGAGGGATCATTTGGGAGTCCTGAATTAGCTCTCTGGGGTAACCCTAAGATGCTAGGAGGCTGTTATGAACTGAAATATGCTCCCTCTGAGTCCATAATATGATCTACAATCCATTGTATAATACAGAACCCTGACTTGATGGTATCTGGAGGTGGAGCATTTTTAGAATATATTCGAGATGATGAGTAAGGGCAAAGTCATAATCCTACAGGATTTGGGCACTAATAAATAAGAGTGTGGACACCAGAGAGTGAGTGCAGCTGTCTTCCTGCATGCTTGCAAGGCCAAGGGCTCCCAGAGAAGAAAGGCCAGAATGATAGGAAGTGTGTGCTTCAAGGTTATATGTGAATCTCTTCCTCCATCTTGGTGGGAGAAAGGAGTAGACCAGAGACAACATAGTATGTTTTAACCAGAGGATCACCTAGCGCCAGAGAAGCTGGAAAACCAAGGCTAGACAATAGAAGATATGTCCTGGGGGACACTAAATCTGAGCAGACCAGATTTGTATAGAAGCATAGGAATACGAGAGTTGAGGGTCAAGGGAAAGTGTACTATGTGGCACGCAGGACTCTGAGCCATTTGATTTGGAGACATGTTGGGCAGCCAGTGAACAAGTGTGGGAGTCCAGAGTAAGAAAATCACCCAGGAGGGGCTTCATACACTTCCCCTGCACTTGAGCAAGTAGTCCTTCCTTACTCTAAGCATCTGCAAATGGAAGAAATTACTTTGTCAACTAGTAACAACTTTATATATCTGTGACACCAAGTGTGTGAATCAACAAGCACAGCTTTTATATAATAAGTCTCTCCGGGCTGAGAGACATTGTTGTCTGCTGGTTTTATGAGTGATCAGAAAGGGTAAGTTTACAGAGAATTTCCCAAAGCTGTCAATGACATTCAGCATCCCAGCATTTCCTGGTCATAAAAAAAAAGAAATCTTAAAGAGACAGACACATATAAACTCTTCAAAGAGCTATGCTATCTCTTACTGTGAAAGATAAGGGCACCATCAGA